TTGCCATTACACCCCGCCCCGTCTCCAGCCATAAATGAAACAAAATTATATGCGGAAGTATCGAACCTGTCACAAGCCTTGTAGCTACCGTACTCGTTTTCTACTTGAAGCATTAAAACTGGGCCACCGTTGTGCCGCATCAAGGGCTTGATCAGTGGCAGAAGAACAGAGTACCATTTATCAACGGCTTTTTTGAATCTGAATGTTCCAAACTTTATCATCCAGATTTCTCTTGAAAACGCATCCAGTGTAAAGAATGAACAAGGAAATGGGCTCATAACTGAGACTTATAATCACTGTACCTTCCTCCTTGACCCGTTCTTTCTTTCAATACCGTCACCCACCACGAGGAGCGTGTCAATGAGGAAAATACAATCGTGAGTTCCCGCCCATTTATTCGTCTACACAGTAATCTTGGAATGTATCTTTAAACTTATATGCTGAAGTCGCACAAAATATTGAGCGCAGTTCGGCTTGGTGGCGGAGGGGTGGGAAGTTTTTGGGGCTACTGTCCGCATTCCACTGCCATTGCTTCTCTTGGAGACCTGTAGGTCCCTGTAAAGCAACACAATAGCAGGAGTACGCTCACGCTTGACAAGAGTGCGCAGGCCTCACTAAAGCAAGGCGTGTGATTCAACAAGCAAAATAGCGAAAACGCGAAATGCCTCCCCCCAAAGCCGAACTGCGCCCGCTACTGTTTCAACAGCTCAATAAAATGCTTGATTTACCCGCTTTCGCTAGTCCTCATATCCGTTATATTCTTATTTAGCAACCACCATGGCAATCCACCGTTCTCCCATTCACCGCAAACGTACGGTCCTTGAAGAGTTAGTGTCTTTAGTTGTTATTTTTTTAGTCATGAAGAAGAGCACTCACCTACTCTTACCAACGAATACATTCCTAGTTCGTAGGCGATGCGGGAGAACTCGGTAAAATTACGCATGCCCGAGAAATTATACCTGTAATTGAGGTGATATGGGAGACAACACTAGTACTGCGCTAGCGCCACGAGTCGTTTTCAGCGGAACTTTGTCAGCAGCTTCCGAAAACTCACTTTCCCTCATAGATTTCATGAAAATTCCATGGAATATAGTATTGAATAGCATTGAAGCCTAGTGCGCGCACTCTCTGAAGTCTGAAAAATGATGCTAAATAATAATCGAAGGTGGACAATGCATGTAATGAAGGCACAGAGGTCCAACATGTTTTTGTAGGTGCAAGTTAGCTATCCTGTGAAAAAACGAATACGGTAAGCAATAAACGACAAGCTTTTGCACCAACGCCACTGCATCACTGCTGAGTTTGAGTCAGGGTTCATCGTTATTGGGGAATCCCCAACAGGGGGGAGGAGAAA